GAGGCTAAAATTTAGGGTCTTCTATAGAGCACCACAGAGTGGCATACAAGGGGAAGCCCAGCTCCAGCTTGGTGAGGACAGGCAGCATTTCTCTTGCTGGGAGCACACTTAGCCAGTTTCCACAACGCCTAGAACATGTATGTCGATTTGTCGATTTGCACATGATTGTCTTTTCCTATTTTGGGGTGGTCAGACATTTTATTTTTGTTTAAAATTATCGGGAGTTTTAGACAAACTTGCAAAACTGTGCTTTTATTAAGTGACTTTTTGAATTAACTTTTTGGTATTCTGAAGCAAATGTATTTTTTTATTGTATGTGCAATGACAAACTTGGTATTTTCCCATAATGGCATTATGTATGTTGTAGAATGTAGTGTTTGTCTATAATACAGACATGTGTCAACACATTAAAAAAAAGATCTTTTCTCCATCTGTGAGAAATATGAGCTGTGTCAGGATCTGGTGACAGCTGACATTTAGGCAGGTTTCCTTTTTTAATTCTTGCTGTGTCACAGCCTTCTCGTTCCCTGTGTTCATACTCAGTAGAAAGACCTTGCAGACAACTGTCACACTGGAGTCTGCATCACAGATCCAGGAGCTGACAGAATGAGAGGGGAAACTGAAAAGATAGAACAGCTGTGTGCTTCAGGGACATTCTGTCTGTTATTCCCCCCCCTCCCCCCGTCAAAAGTAAATCAGGCTATGGTGTTTATGTAACCAGGTTTAGCTTCCTTTTCAGGACAATCTCTTTACCGACCTCCTTCCATCCTCTGCCTGCAGTCAGACTGAACAAGTTCTGCAGCTCTGGTTCTCTGGTTTCCTGCACAGCTGTACCCATTTGTCTTGTAGATTGCACAGGGACTGTATGTGCTCTGAGTTTGTTTGCACTTGTGCTCATACACAGTATGATTCTAAGGACATCTGTGTTTTGTATTAGACTCTTTTATGCTCTCCCCAGACTGTTGTCACCCACTGTCTATGAATCTACTAAGACTTCAGGTTCCCACTGAGCAGTTAGAACTACAGAACAGGCACGTGTTCACAGTAAAGTCCAAGTGTTTTCCTCACAGCCCCCTTTAATAGCCTGGTGATATATCTGCGTGTTGATGCTGAAGAAGTGAACAAGGCAAAAGCACTTTATGATGCGTGAGGTTCATTATATTTTGGGAGGGTAACAGCAAATGAAAAACAAATACACACTATGCAGCAGCAAGGGCTGTGGAGAAACTGAAACATAATGAAAGGATGATAAATGATAAGAGGAAGTCATATTTGTACATCCCAATGTGGATATAAATCCTGAATCCTGCCTACTTGAAGTAGGACCTAGAGAAAGGTAATTAATAGCCATGTGGTTACTGAGAGAGAAGAAAAGACACAAAAGCAGACGTGAGGTTCAAAGTGATGAGATGAGAAGACAGCCCAAGATACCAAGGGGCTGGAATCCAGACACCAGAGGCTCCAGAAATGCAAAAAGTATTCAAAGGTATAATGTATGGAGCATGTGCACTGTAAACCCAATGAATGCTCCCTGACTGAAATGGGAAGCCTTGTGGTGCCTCACAGAATGACTTGACATGGTATGACGTCAGTGTCACTAGGATAACTCTGGCTGCTTGATCATGCATGTTATTGCAAAAACAGTCTTAGGAAATATAGCAATATCAATGACATAATCAAGGCTTAAATTGAGGAGGTCTTGCAGAGGATCAAAAAGGAGGGATGATCAATTGTAAGTGGATTAGGAAATAGAGCCTAAGAGGGTGAACTGTGGGAGAGACAGAAAGAGGCTCCAGGGTGACAATGGGGATTTGCTGTTTCCTTTACTGACAGTGAGGTCCATTGTGCTGTCGTGCAAGGTCTTATAGGCAGGCTTGTGGAAAATAAAGAGTTGAAATATGGATCTGAACTCGTTAAATACCCAACAATTAAACTTGGGTCCTAGGACCTGGCAGTAAGTGTATTTACCTGCTGAGCCTTCTTAATATATTTGATACTCTTTTTTTCGCCCCCATTTTGAGACAAGGTCTCAAGTAGCTCAGGTTAGCCTCTAAGTCACTACCAGAATTATAGGGATCCACAATCACCTGCTTTGGATGAGGTGCTGGGGATTGAACTCAAGGCCTTATTCATGCTGGAAAAGCTCTCTACCAATTGGGCTCCATCTGCAGTGCACAGTTAGATTGCGTTCATAAAATAAGAGATTTAGAAGAAAATGGTGAATCTAAATGATGACATGAGGACACGGAAATATTGTTTTGGATAAATTAATTTTAGCACAGAGTTTAAGGGTAGAGAAGTTTTATATTATTTTAAGTTTATATTCTTCATGGAGATGAGTTCCTTGTCATGAAAAGAAGGCAAGTAAATCTAGACAAAATAAGAATTATTTCAGCAAAACACAGTAGCTGAACCTACTGAAATGTTCTGCAAACAAAATAACACAGACAAAAACAGATTTGTGTGATTTTTAAGAGATTTGGCATTGATTAAACACTGATGTCAATTGTCATTTGTTCTTATTTAATTTTCAGTGTGTAAAACTAGATGTATGTTAAATTTCTTTTCATTTGAAAGCACACACTGAGGGAAGTGTGCACAGATAGAGAAGAAATCTCAGATTTCATACAAATATTCCAGCTCTAGTTAGATGTGACACATTTACTCATGACTATACTTGATGATGCTGGCGAAAAGACACATGCATATTTTATATTATTTTTCTTTACTTAAGTATTATTTTTCTATAATGAAGGGTTTAATTGAGAGTTAGTATAAATTTGTTCTAGTTTCCTTTCTATTTATGATATAAACACTGTGACCAAAAGAATTTCTAGAAGAAAATGTTTTTTTTTTTTTGGACTTACACACTCTGCTAACAGTCCATCACTGGGGGAAGTCTGCACAGAAACTCTTCAGGAGTAGAGGCAGGAGCAATAGGAGATGACGTGGCATTTTATTTGTAGTTTAATAAATAAAGCTTACCTGAAGATCAGAGAGTATAACAGCCTCAATGGTCAGCCTTACAGACCAGGCAGTGGTAACACACACCTTAAATCCCAGTAGCCACACTATTTGCCATAGAAACCAGGCAGTGCATGCCTTTAATCCCAGCCTTAGAGAGGATGATAAAATGGAAGGATATCTCTCTGACACAGTCTCATTCTGAGATTCCTAGATGCAGGATCGCCATTTCGAACTGAGGTAGAGGTAAGAGCCAGTGGATGGTTACTTTGCTCTTCTGGCCTTCATGTTGAAACCCATTTTCTCTCTCTGAATTTTTATTAATTGTGCTTCAAGAAGAATATTGTTTACTCTCTTGCTCCCCATAGTTTGATAATGCTTCCTTAATTTACCCAGGACCACCAGCCCGGGGTAGTACCACCAACAGTGAACTGGTAGCTCCACATCAATACTCAATCAAGAAAATACCATTTAAGGGTGCTCCCGGTCCAATCTGATGGAGGTTATTCTTCAAATGAGATTTTCTTCTCCAAAAGGACTACAGTTTATATCCTGTTGGGTGAAAATAATCATCATAATATATATGGGAACTGGTCAGCATCAGAACATAACTGAGGCTGCAGCATAGAGAACTCAATGCTAAGCATAAAGGCATCTTGAATCTCTTGCAACTTATTCTCCATACTTTCTTTCAGGGCCTTTTTTTTATCAACACTCATGGGTCAGTTATTCTCTGATACATCTAAGAATGAAGACTGTGGAGATTTGGAGTCCAGCTTTACAGCATATTTTAAGACTAACTCAGAAAGCAAAATCATTCCCCAGGAAACCATCGATTCAATTGAGTTACACCTGACAAAAGGAAACATTCAGGGGGCAAACTCTGTAATCAGGGATGCATTAAAAAATATTGATAATGTCCCAATCAACATTGCTGTGACCGGAGAGTCTGGAGCAGGGAAGTCCAGCTTGATCAATGCCCTGATGGGGGTGGGACCTGAAGACGAAGGTGCAGCTGAAGTTGGGGTGGTAGCAACAACTATGAGGAGAACTCCATACAAGCACCCCAAAATTCAAACTTTGACTTTATGGGACCTGCCTGGCATTGAAACTGTGAACTTTCTACCAAAAGATTATCTGGAGAAAGTGAATTTCCAAGAATATGATTTCTTCATTATTGTTTCTGCCACACGTTTTACAAAACTTGAACTAGACCTTGCCAAAGCAATCAGATTGATGAAAAAGAATTACTACTTTGTGAGAACCAAGGTGGACACTGATTTAGACAATGAGAAGAAATGCAATCCACAGACCTTTGACAGAGCAAAGACCCTGCAGAAGATCAGAAGCATATGTGTGAATGCCTTCAGTCAGAATAACATGGATGCTCCACAGATTTTCTTGATTTCTAACAGCAATTTATCTGACTATGATTTTCCAGTCCTGATGGACACACTGGTAAAGGATCTTCCTGCTCAAAAGCGCCACAATTTTATGCTTTCCTTGGCTAATATTACGGAACCAGCCATTGACAGAAAGCACAAGTCTATGCAGCAGTATATTTGGTTGGAAGCCTGCAAGGCTGGACTCTTAGCTACTGTTCCTGTAGTGGGCATCCTCAGGGATGATGTGGAGAAGCTGAAGGAGAAGTTAAACCACTATCGAGTCCGCTTTGGAGTGGATGATGAATCCCTGGAAGTCATTGCTAAGGATTCTCAAGTGCCTGCTGAACAATTGAAAAAAATGATTAAATCCCCTTATTTGTTGGAAACAGAAGGAGAAACATCTTTAGGAGAAATGCTTTTGAAATATTTGGAGAAATTTGCCTCAGCTACTGGTGGGCCCTTGGCTACAGGTCTCTACTTTAGGAAAACCTTTTACTTGCAATATCTATTCCTTGAAACAGTGACTGAAGACGCCAAAGTTCTCCTTAGACAAATTTAAGAAAGTAGTTTAAACTCACCTCATCCACAGCTACTGACCATGACAAGATCAAATGATTACTATCAAGAAGTCATTAGATGAATTCCCCCTTCTGACATATTTTCTTTACTCTAGCCAAACGACTGTCATCATGGAGACACCTAAAGATATGGACCCTGCTTCTTACTATGTCACAGTCTGACAACCCCAGTCCCTCTTCACCTCTCTCTACCCTCCTTCCTGTCTTTCACTCCACCTGTTGAGGAAAATTGTTTTAACTGGGCAAAGATGTGTTACATTTGTTTATGTTGCAGAATATGGCCTTAACTGTGTAAAAAGCATGGTACATTTGGCATTCCAATGTGGGGCCTGTATTTTCATGTAGCTCCTAAAAAAGCTGAGAAAAAAGAAAAAAGAAAAAAAAAAAAGAAGCCACATTTTAGTAAAACCAGCCAGAGTTAGGCCCAGAATTCAATGCTAATAACTCTGTGTCATAATTTGGGAGCTGCTTGGTGGCCCAAAACAAACCCTGGTACATTCACCTGCACACTTGAACACACACACACACACACACACACACACACACACACACACACGGACAAACATGCACACATCCACGAATGGACACATACAACACCCAAAATGAACAAACACACACAAAAGATATGAATAAGTACATTGTAGCTAATTCCTCCTAATCAGCTAATCAAGCATTCTAGTGGAATCTCAGGAAGCTGGAGGCACTTGCCATGCATGTATGAGGACCAGAGCTCAATTGCCAGAACTGATATAGAAGTTCAGTGAGTGTGGCAGTCGCTTTGTACTTCCACACTCAGAAGGCAGAAACAGTGGAATCATGGAGCAGGTTGGCTTGCTGGACTGTGTAGATCTATAAAGCTCGGGATTCAATTGATAGAACCTGCCTTAATGGAAAAGATAGAAAGTAACTGAGCCGGAGACCCAACATAAGCCCGACATGTCCACACACATGTAAACATGTACACCCCACACAGGGACACATTTTAAATATAAAATAAAAATAAGATTCAGGAATGAAATAAAATCTCAAGTCTTAGAAAGTATAGAAACATAAAAGTTTCACGAAGCTCTCCTCAAGGTTAACAAGTAGTCTGTACATTGTATTAGTTTGTATCTCTGTTAATGGGATTAAACACTAGCTGTTGGTACACAGTCAGTGAAGGAAGCTGTGTGAGGAGATTCCTGAGAGCTTGTGAGAAAACTCCAGGACAAAGACAAAAAGACAAAACTACCTGGCTAAAACCGCCATAAAATTTACATATTTACATACAAGTTTTTTGTAACTTCTGTTCTTCCACAGCATGGGTTTTTTTTGTGGAATGCGCTGCCCTGCCCCTCTGAGGTGGAATAAACAGGAGTGGGTCTTACTGTAGATTACCCATCATCTTACCTCTAGTATTCAGAATGATGTTTCCAGACAGAAGTTGTCCTCCTGACTCTATACTACATAAACCAAGGGGAGCTTGCCTTTGTGATTGATCACAGCTTGAACTTAGCTTTGCTCACATGATCTTGCTTGATCCACAAAATGCCCTCAGAATATAAATTGTCTGATTCCCTGAATAAAGTTGGTTTTTGCATGAGACTTTAGACCACCTCATTTTTAGGTTCCACTCTCCTAAGTTCATGCCCCCAAATACAGCAGAAACACTAAGTCACCCTGAGGGAGGAAAGTATTTAGTTGGCTGGCAGGTTACAGCCTATCATCAAAAGAAGCCAGGGAACTGAAGTGGAGACTGTGAGGGAGCACTGCTTACTGACTTGCTCTCCATGGCTTGTTCACCCTATTTTCTCACACACCCCAGGACCACATTCCTCGGGATGGCGCTCACCACAGTGGGCTGTGTCCTCCTACATTATTTATCAATCAAGTAAATCCCCCAGAGATATTCCCACAAGCCAATCTGATTAAAGGAATTCCTCAATTGAGAATCCCTCTTGCAAGTGAGGCAATGGGGTTCGTGCCTCTAAGCCCAGCACTCTGGCTTATTTCTTATTTCTTATTTACAGGTATGATGGTTCACGTTGAAGTCTCCCTGGTCAAAGCCACCATCATATCTGGTAGATTAATACAGGTTCCCATATATCTGCCACATTTCTTTTCTTCCCATTGTCAATCATTCTTCTAGGAAACCCTCAGTACAGCTGGGGAGGAACCTGCACTAGACAGGCTTTGCCCTTCATTTGGGATTGTTTGCGTTTGCTTATAACAAAAGAACATGGACAATACATTTTAGGAAAAAAGAAAATCTAAATTCTTAAAAAAAATCTTTTCTGGGTGTGGGGTTAGTATGAATTTTATGTGCAATACAACTGAGCTTTTGAAGACTCACTGTAAGGAAGGGCTGTTTTGAAAAGGTTCAGGTCCGTTGTGACCCAGAGTAAACCACAGCATCATTTTAGGCTGTTTGAAGGCAGTTCTGTTTGGAGCGGCAGTGAAATGATGGCCCTCAGGGTCTGTGGCACCTAGGACATAAGCCTACATTCCCTCTTAAGGCTCAGGAGAAAACAGATCACATATCCATGGTCTGTGACTCAGACATATGGCTCAATAGCTCATTTCCATGAGAATAGATGTGGCAATAACTCTGTCCCTATGGAACAGAGCACAGCACTGCCATGGCTCTAACAGGAAACAGATGCTCCAGAGACTCACACTCGGTATAGAACAGGACTCTATTCCAACATGAGTCATACTTGTCCAAAGGACAGCATTTCAGACCCACAGTGATGAGCCCTGCTGCAGTAGTGACTCTGGACCCTTGGATAAAGGGACATGGCAGTCACTAGACTCTTTAATGCCAGTGGATAAAATAAGAAAATGGTAGGGCATAGCTGGGCCTTGGGTCTTGAGGTCATGCGGAAGTGATCAAGGTTTAGATAACAAGATTTCTGCAGAAGAGCAGGGCAGGCGTTCTTCCCATTGAGATTGTTCTTTGATCAAATCCTCAGTCACATAAAACTTACTCAGCAGCCTGAGTAGCACTCACCAATACTGTGAATGTTAGCCACAAAACAGGAAGTTTTCTGGTTGGTGCCAACGTATTTCTATGTCCTATGACCAAAGTATATGGTGTCTTTATCAATAGATTCTTGCCATCAGATTCTGGTGGGAATTCAAGAATGAAGGCAGTAGCCTGTATTGTTTTGAGGTCTTGGGGCCTTCCTGATCAACAACGGAGGGGCAGGTATCACACAGCTGACACTGAGTTCTGTTTGACACCTCCAATAGCTCTTCTTGTTGCGAACTTCATTCTAGAAATAACCAAGTTCTAGACTCTATCTGGAATGAAGTATAATCCAGAAATTGAGGGTACGTCTGTGAGAGATTTTATGCTGGGGTTAAGATGGGTGAGTTCCCTTCTAGTCTGGACCTTTGAGGTAGGAAGACAAGAGATTTTAATCTGTCCATGCTTCCTGCTGACAGCATATATAAGGACATAGAAGGAGGCAGCTTTTGCTGCTTCCCTGGTTGCCCTCACCTCGCCAGCCCATCCATTCCCTCACTGGCATTGGAGTCTGTTTCGTGGGGATTCCAGAGTATTCAGAAGACAAGCTGAGACCTCAGCCCTGTGGGACTGATGAATTTCTAGATTCTTGGGTTTCCTTTCACATCTAGTCATTGTTGGATTAGCTGGACTGCAGCCTGTAAATCATTCTAATACCCCCCCTTTATATATAAAGAGAGATTAATTCTAAGTTCTGTGACTTTAGAGAACCTGAATGATACAATAAGCTCTATCTTCTTGGACAAGCATCACCCCCTCATTGCGGCAAACAATAACTCCAGTTAAACTCCTTAAGCACACATAAAAGGTAGGATCCAGTACAGTGTTGTCAGACGTCCTCAGTTAGTGAATCCTTCTCTCACTCCCTCCTCCTCTGCCCTGCCCTCTGACCTCTTCCCCATTATTCTCCTTTCCCTCTTCATACCCCTTGTGTTCTACTAATCTCCTCTGTATTATTCAGAATTCTCTAGAAGAAGAGAATTGTAGAAGTCAGCTCAATTCGGGAAATAATCATGCTAGCTAAAGGATAAAACAATTATATTTTTATTTATTATAAGGGGAAAACTCACAAAACAGGAACAGAAAGTCCAAGCTTAGCGGTGCCACGGGGGAACCACATACAGAGAGATCACCTGGTCCCTGTCCATTTTTTCTCTGGTTCTCTGAAAGCCATACCCTAACTTGGTTCCATCTCTTAAAGATGATTGGTTAGCAAAGTTTCCCCCATCAGAGAATCAGAGGAATGATTAGATATCTAATACATGTATAATATATAGAATAATATATGAAGATAGCTTACATTGTAATAGCATCAACACATGATCACAGCTGAGAGACTGAGAAATTGCTAGTTGTTCCACACTTGGGGCATGCCTTAGCAGTTAGGGTCATCCCATATTGACTGTCTCTCACTAGGCAGGACAACAACCCCATAGTTGCTCAAGGTACAGGCTGGGTCGCTCCACAATCCCAATCTGGAGCTGAAATTCTGAAAGTGTCCTGATGATGAGGCCAGGGTGGAAGCCTGGAAACACTTGTTCTGGTATCAGTGAGGGAACCAGCAGCAGAGACAGTGTAAGTGAACATGCAGCAATAAGGAAGGCCAAGCCAGTACAAGGCAAGTGATTGCCCCCTGCCTTTCCCTTTGCATCTGGGTGGTTCTTCTACCATCAACCAAGGCAATTAGGACACTTTTTCAGGTGAGGGTCCCTATTAAGGGAATCTAGTTTGTGCCATGTTGACTTTAAAATAAACCACAATACCCTCCATTAAGATCTTTCTTTCCTTTGTGCAGTGACTCCTTTCCAGTTTCCTGGAGTCTACGGTTATTCCAAGTGAATCCCTCAAATCTAAAAATCCAAAACTAGGATCGATATATGACTTTAAAAAAATAGGTACTTGCTTTTCTAAGTGTGGGTTACATCACTCAACATGCATTGAAGATACATCCATTTGCTTGAGAATTTCATAATTGTGTTGTTGTTGTTTACCACTGAATAATATTCGTTAACTGATGGACTTCAAAACTCTATTACTTGACTACGGTAAATATGGTCAGAATGAACATGAATAAGTACATGTACCTATGATAGGATACAGCGTTCTTCTTGTTGACAAAACATAACCAGCACGATCTTGTGGAACTGGTCAGCATCAGAAGATAACTGAGTCTGCAGCATAGAGAACACAGCGCTAAGCGCACAGACACCTCTGTTCTCTTGGAACTCACTCTCTACTCCTCCTTTCAGTTTCCTGATTTACTAACAGTCATGAGGCAGTTCTTCTCTGATGCATCTAAGGATGAAGACCATGAAGATTTCGACTCTAGCGCCACTGCCTATTTTAAAAAATTTAAGGCAGAGAACAAAATTATTTCTCAGGAAACCATCAGGTCTATTGAGTTTTATCTGACAAAAGGAGACATTTGGGGTGCTAAATCTGTAATGAGTGATGCATTAAGAAAATATTGATAATATTTTTTTGCCTCTTCTCTGGTGCTCCTTGAGCCACGTGAATGGAAGTATGTGGGGGTTTGAAAGTAATTGGTCCCCATAAGCTCATAGGGAGTGGCGCTATCAGGAGCTGTGGCCTTGTTGGAGAAAGTGTGTCACCGGAGTGGGGTCAAACTTTGAGATATCTTATGCTCAAGCTACACCCAGTGACACAGACAGCTTCTTGTTGTCTGTAGATCGAGATGTAGAACTCTCAATTCCTTCTCCAGCACCATGTCCGCCTGCACACCTTTATGTCCCACCATAGTGATAATGGACTAAACCTCTGAAACTATAAGCCACCCCAATTAAATGTTTTCCTTTATAAGAGTTGCCATGGTCATGATGTCTCTTCACAGCAAGAGAAACCCTAACTAAGACCAGGGGATACGGTAGAGATGTTCCACTTAGGGCTGGACACCCCACTGTTCCCTTCTCTCAGAGCCTCAGTCAGGTGCTCTGCATTCTATTCAGGGCTTTTGGTTGTGCTCAGTGTGAGGTGGTGTGAATATTCATATCTCATATTAGTTGAGAGAACACGGAACTTAAATGTTTAAAGTTTTATGTTTGTTTTTAATCCAGTCAGCGATTCTTCATTCTTTTACCTTTGATGTCATTTACATTGAAGATAACCATTGAGAGAGGTTTGCTAAATTTTGTAATCTTGGTTATTCTTCGGGTTGATTAGATGTCCTCCCCCACATCCCATTGTTTGCAGGTTTACTGTGCTGGACAAGATGCAGTCTTTCTGATTCCTCCCCTGTTCATTATTCTCTCATGGATTGCTTTCTTTCCTGTGATGTCACGACTGAGACTGTTCTTTTCTTCCTCTGCATACATTATTCATTTAGGTATGTACTAGATTAGTACTAGATTAGTAGCCATAACTGTCAGAATTTGTGCTTGTCTTAAAATGTTCTTATTTTTCTGTCAATTTTAAAAGATAACTTTGTGGATATAGTGACATTAACTGCGATGATTTACATTTAGGGTTTTGGATTCACCACCCCACACTTCCCTGTCACTTAGGGTTGCTGGTTAGAGACTGCATGTTATTTTGATGTGTTCTCTTTTTTTTTTTGAGTTGATGCTTCTCTTTACAGCTTTTAATACAGTTGATTTGCATTCATTTCTACTTTCTTCTGTTTGTGTGGCTTCATTACAAAAATTCCCCCTTTTGGAACAGACTAAGCAATGCCCCTACAATGTGAACCACACTGGGCGAGAATAAGACCACTGTCACCATTTTGAGCCAAATCTGGAACAAACTTGGTTTTTATTGTGATGTACCTGAGACCTGGCAAGAGACTGCCTCTCTGGTCCCGTTAAAGAGAGCAACTCTGAGTTCATTTCTTAGGGCTCTCTTAAGGGTAAAATCAGGAGTACTTGCAAAGCAGGTTTATAGAAATCAATGGGGTCATAAGAAAGTACAGAAAAATCTTATAAAACAACAAAAGCAACAACAAAACCCAGCCTTCACATGTTTTTGCCACATTATTAGGGAGGGTTAGTGTAATCAGGAAGGGAAACGAAGGGTCTGAGTGTTCCCCAATACAAGTTGATGTCGTAGGGATTCAAATTAATTATGACTTGATTAACAGCTTAAAAATGTGTGACAATTATGTTGAACATTGAAGAACCTATTTCATTTTTTAATTAATTAATTTATTAACGATTTCTGCCTCCTCCCCGCCACCACCTCCCATTTCCCTCCCCCTCCTCCAATCAAGTCCCCCTCCCTCATCAGCCCGAAGAGCAATCAGGGTTCCCTGCCCTGTGGGAAGTCCAAGGACCACCCACCTCCTTCCAGGTGAGCATCCAAACTGCCTAGGCTCCCACAAAGCCAGTACGTGCAGTAGGATCAAAAAACCATTGCCATTGTTCTTGAGTTCTCAGTAGTCCTCATTGTCCGCTATGTTCAGTGAGTCCAGTTTTATCCCATGCTTTGAAGAACCTATTTCATTTACATTATTTGTCAGAACAATAACAATATGTAATCTACATCTATCATTTTTTTGTTAGATGGGCAGATACGGCAATTAAATTATATAAGTTCAGAATTTCAGAATAGTCAGACTATTGTCTTACTTAAATCTAAAACTTATCACAAGGTGAGGTGCATAGTTTAGTGATAAAATGCTTGCCTAGCATCTACAAGGCCTGGGTTGGAGCCCTAGCCTTAGGAGTAATTGAATAAACAGGTTATTGCAGAATTAACTCATGTAATTATGTTTAAAAAATACATATTTGTGTTATTATATAGTAAGATTAAAATAATCTGAATATTAAAAAAATTATTTGGATATTACATCTCATTCCATGTTGAAAGTCCAAGATAAGACAAAACAAAACATACAACCACAAATCCTGTCAAGGACACGAGGAAAGAGTAACACCTATCCATGGTCAGTAGCTGTGGCTGACATGAGTTTGAACTGATTTTTGAATATGTCTCTCTAAGGACAACTTTGGCATCTTCAGCCACTGTGTCAAGGAACAGAAGTTGTAAGTAAAAGGTTTTCCTAAAGTAAAAACCTGTAGCCAAGAGCCCACCATTGGCTGAGGCAAATCTCTCCAAATATTTCAAAAGTTTTCCTTCTAATGTTTCTCTTTTCTTAGTTCCCAACAGATAAGGAGATTTAATGACTTTTTTCAGTTTTTCAACAGGTACTTGGGAATCCTTTGCCATGAGTTTCAAGGTTCCATCATCAACTCCAAAGAGCTTTCGATAGTGGTTTAAAATCACCTTCAACTTCTCCATATCACTGTCCTTGAGGATGCCCTTTACAGAAAGACTTGTCCAAGCTTCATTCTTTATGGTTTCTAGCCAGATAAACCGGTGCATCGACTCACGCTTTCTTTCAATGACTGCCTCAGCCTTACTCAATGAAGAATACATAAAGTTTGGAAGTGTGGGAGTAGAAAGTTTGTTTTTCAGCATGTCCTTCAGGATTGGGAAATCATAGTCAGATGAATTTTTGTTAGAGATCAAGAAGATCGGTGGTACATGCAGGTTGTTTTTCTTAAAGGTATCGACACAATGGCGTTGTATCTGCTGCAGTAAGTTTTCTCTGCCAAAGGCATGTTTGCATCCTTTCTCAGTTTCTAAATCTATATCCACCTTGGTCCTCACGAAGTAGAAATCCTTCTTCATCATGCTGACTGCTTTGGCGAGGTCTATATCATTTTTCTTAAAGCGTGTGGCGGAAACAATGATGAAGAAATCATACTCATTGAATTTCATTTTCTCCAGATAATCTTTGGGTGGGAATTTTGTGGTTCCAATCCCAGGCAGGTCCCAAATAACCACATTGGGAATATTGGGGTGCTTGTATGGAGTTCTCCTCATGGTTGTCTCCACCACGCCAATTGGAGCTGAAGTTTCCTCTTCATGTCCAATCCCCCTGAAGGCATTGATGAAACTGGACTTCCCAGTTCCAGACTCTCCTATTACAGCAATATTGAGTGAGGTACTGCTAATTTCTCTTAATGAATCAGTAATTACATTATCTGTCTTCTGAATGTTTCCTTGTGCCAGGTGTAACTCAATTGAAGTGATGGTTTTCTGAGAAATGATTCTGTTTTCTTCCTTAATCATCTTAAAGTATTTGCACACGTCTTCATCCTTAGATGCGTCAGAGAGCAGCTGACTCATGGCGGTAAGCAAATAAAGGCCCTGAAAGGAAGAAGGGAGAGTAAGTTGGGATAGGCTGATGTCAGATGGATGACTTTGTGCTTTGCCCTCTTCAAGCACTGTGTCCTCCAGACAGATGCCTATCACCTTCTGATATGGACTAGTTCTTATGTATTTCTACTTGCTCTCCGTTGAGTCTTTTATGATGGAAAATTTAAAACTCTATGAAAGTAAGAGTATTCATATAATCATCTGTGTTAAGGCATTTCATTTGTATTTTAATAAATAAAGCTTGCCTGAAGATCAGAGAGTAAAACAGCCTCAGTGGTCAGGTTTACAGACCAGGCAGTGGTAACACACACCTTAAATCCCAGTAGCCACACTAGTTGCTATAGAAACAAGGTGGTACATGCCTTTAATCCCAGTGGTGCACACCTTTAATCCCAGCCCTGGAGAGGATTATAAAATGGGAGGAAACAGCTATCAGGCTCAGTCTCATTCTGAGATTCTAGGAGGTAGGATCACCATTTCAGACTGAGGTAGAGGTAAAAGCCAGTGGCTGACTGTTCTACTCTTATAGATATGATCTTGTTTTTGAAAGGAAAAAAGGGGAAGTGCTGTGGAATAATGGTCTGGTGCCCTGTAAAGATTTGTCACTTGTATTGATTTAATAAAACATTGATTGGCCAGTAGCCAGGAAGGAAGTTTAGTCAAGGCAACCAGACTAGGAGAATTCTGGGAAGAGGGACGGGTCAGTGTGCAGTTACCAGTCAGACAGGGAAGAAGCAAGATGAGAATGTTGCCCTGAGTAAGGTGCCAAGCCAGGTGGCTAAACATAGGTAAGAATTAAGGGTTAATTTAATTTATAATAAACCTGAGCTAATAGGACAACCAATTTATAATTAATATAAGCTGCTGTGTGTTTTTTTGGGGACTGAACAGCTGAGGGACCAAACAGGACAGAAACTTCTCTCTACACATCTTGGTACATGCCCATTAGCTAGCTTCAACTACTTTAGAAATGAGAGTAACTGTGTTGCATCTAATTTGACTAGAGTCTTCCAGGCCAGTACAAGGTGTTCTTTCATCCTTCAATATGTGCCTTCAAAATGTGGGAATTTTAACTAGCGTAAGTATAATCTTTCAAACTGAGAAGCAAATAGTAATCATCATCAATGTTTAGTCAATGTCAAGTTGTATCAACAGTCACATAAACCTTCAGTTTATACTTTCACTTTCATCCATTTGATTTAGTTGATGTAAATATTAATTTTCATTGATTTTCTTTCTTTGTGTCTTTTTCACCTCTGTGAGTAGTGAAAACTTTCAATAATAATACAAACCTTCATTATTAAAGTCCATGTTAAAAAACATTTACTCAATGTAATATTTCAGTGTGCTCAAACTATTATTTAGCTCTGTTTTATTTTCATACTTTACTTCATAAAAATCATCTACCTGTGCACTGGAGAGTAGCTAAGTTGTTGGAATGTTCCTAGCATGAAAAAGGCCCTGGGTTCGATCCCCAATACTGCATAAGCCTGGCTGGATGTAGACACATATAGCTATAGACTTATAAACTTACCCACATGTTGGTCCACATCCAGTCAATGTTATGCACTGAGGTCTTTGATCCTTTTGAATAGATTTTTATGGAAGATGAGAAAAATGGGTTTGGTGCATGGTGGTGGTGGTAGTAGTGGGAGCAACCCAGTAAGTAGCTCCTCTAACGGCCTCTGCTTCAGTTCCTGCTTCTAGGTTCCTTTCTCCAGGCTTCTGCCTCAGGTTTGACTTCTCTCAATGGACTGTGACCTAGATATGTTAGCCAAATAAACCTTTTCCTCCCCAAGTTGCTTTTAGCCAGTGTTCTAGTATGTCAATAAAAAAACTTAAATAGAAAATAGCGGTGAACACTTTCAACAAAGTAACAATACTAAATCAACACAAAAATTAGTAGCTATTCTATGTGCCAGTAACAAGCTTCCTGAGAAATAAATTAGGGAGGAGGAGAAATCCCACCAAAGTAACTAAAATATAAATACCAGGGCATAAGCATAATTTACAATAAAAACTTGGAACGTTGAAGAAAGGAATTGAAGAAGACAGAATATGGAAAGTCCTTCTGTGCTCATAAATGGGAGAATTAGTACGGTGGAAACTGCTGTATCACTAAAACTAATCTTTGGATACATGGCAATGCATAACAATTACAGTTCCATTCTTCACGGGATAGAAAACCCAACCCTAAAGTCCACACAGATGGACAGAAACCCCACAGCAATCACGAATCAAGAGTGATTGTGGATGCATCATAACACCTGTGGACAGCCCAGAATACAACCACACTGTCAAGTAGCAGCCTGGTATTGGTAAAGCAAGCAATCAAGCAACCCACCCACCCGCAGAAATTCAGGTCAGGGAACTGGATAGAGAAATCAGAAACAAACCCAACCATGGAATGTTTGACAGAGGCATCAAAAATATACACAAGAGAAAAGGTAGTATTTTCAGCAAATGATCTGGGAAAGCTAGTTGTTCGCATGTAAAAGTGTGTGAGCATTTCTCTTTTTACTTTGTTGGGAAACCACTATTATAATTGTTCATTGTAAAGGAACTAACATTTACATTCCTGTACTCCCATCAATCAACAACATTTAGGTGTTCCTTCCCCTCTCACCTCCCTCCTCTCCAAGATTTGTGTTATTTTACCCTTATTGATTAATAGCTATTTTTCCTGGGGGTGAAAGAGAATTTCAATGGAGTTTGTGTTTTAAGAGTTATCTGTATTGATTTATGATTTGAGGGGGAAGAGCATGTGTGTGTTGCTGAGTGGCTATGTGTGCAGAAGTTAGAAGAAATTTCTTCTCTGCCACCACACGGTGCCTATTCCTCTGAAACAGGGCTTCCCTGAATCTGGGGCTTACTTCTCTCCTAGTGAGGAAACAATCAAGCCAGAGAAATCCTCTTGTCTCGGGATCCTCTCAGTGCTGATCTGCCCAGCTCTTTCCATGCTTGCTGGGATGCCATCATAATTATGTCGTCATACTTATGGAGCAAGCTCTCTTAGCCACTGCGCCATCTCTCCAGTTCCTCACTGTTGTTTTTGATTTGCATTTTCTTGGGCTAAAGATTCTGAAGATTATTGTCATGTTTTCTTTGGGCATTTTTTTTCTTTTGAGGACTGTCTGTTTTGTTCATTCTCTCATTATGGATGGGGTTTGATATATTTGTGTTGAAAACAGTATGTCCTGTATACATTCTAGGAACTTATCCCTCATTGGATGAATCCAATTTCAAGAGGTCACCCTTGAATACAACTATATACAAACAACATTACATAGACTCAGTCAGTTGTCTATGTATATATACTTTGGTCTGTATATACAACAACAATAATTAAAGAAGTCATCAATTGGGGAGGACACAGGGTGAGTTTGAAAGGGAAAAAGGGAGGGATAGAATTGATATAAACACGCATGTATAAATTACTCATGTGTGAAATTCTAAATAGATTTAAATGTGAAAGAAGGTTCTTTGATGAGGGGTGAGAGCTACATTTATCTGTGGTTATGAAGATAAGAACTTTCAATACAATCAAAGCTACAATGATTTAGAAAGATGCAGTAACAGGTGCTTCTCTAGTGTCTATGACCTCTCCAATTATGGATAATTGTCTAGGTTTAAAGTAGGCATAAATTTCTTTCTATAGAATGGGCTTAGTTCAATTAGACGCCGTTAATTACCCACAATATGATGTGCCACCATTGCACCATTAGAGTCGTTTTGCTGGGGTGGTCATTGTGGTTCATAGGCTTTTTAGCCGTGTGGGAATGGTTCTTCTGGGAAATGCTGTTTGAAGCTTGTCTTTACAAATCAAACTTTCACCCAACCTTTAACCAAGTTAATGACGTGCTTTGAAATCACTTAGAACATATACACTCATTCTTCTTACATACTGAGTCAAAAACAGCTGCCCTTCAAGAAAAACAATGTAATCAGTCTTACTATGTTTTGGACGTCCTGATGGACCATATCCCTTGTTTTTCCTTTGTTACCATTCACACCCCTAATTCAGGACAATGGATGTATGCATAGGGTTCAGTGGCTGGACCTAAGCACATTTGCTGAAAACAGTGAGGTCCTGAAAAGTGTTCCCCTTCAAGTAAAATGTTGAAAGCGACATATGGGTACAGACTGATAGCATCTGATTGTGAAATTGTGTGCTGTTCTGAGTTAATAGGGCCAAAGAACAATCTCTCCCCTTGTGAGGCTCTGTAAAAGACTGATTGTCCCTCCTCCCCCCCTTGGGACCATATTTGCTGTGCTGATGAATAAAGGTGATAGCCCTTGTCCTGACAATCCAGCTCTCCCTTGGCTAAATGACACCAAAGGTCAGTTTCCTTTCCTTTTCATCAGGCTGCAGTGGAGTTAGGCCTGTTGTTTGCTTTTCTCCCTTGGCAGTTTGCATAGTGGCTGCTACTGGGAGAGCTAGTTTCAGTGAGGAGGCTTCCAGACCAATTCTAGGTGGATTCCTCCAAGTCCTGTGTCCAAGGTGTATTCAGTAATAGGGCCTTATCTTCAAGTTCTGGGAGGCCCCCAAGGGCAATGGAAACGGCCTTTGTTGTTTTGGTAGATTTCTGGACCCTCTGATTTATAAGTCAAAGAAAGGTTTCCCATGCCCAAGACTGGGATTTTCATTAGATGGTCTTTAGTTCTTGTGGGGGAGCCTTATCACTCAATGCTGCATGATTCCATTCAAACATATGCATTTTTATTTGTACATATATGTCATATATGTATTCTAAAGTAGGTTATATATAAATATATAAAATATATATTTTATATAAATATATAAAATAATATATTTCCCCATGGCTTTCAACAGCCTTAGTGTTATTTCTCTTTCAGTCTTTCCTCTCCTCCATATTGTCTTGCCCGCAGTTACAGCTCCTCCTACTTCCCCTTTTCCATCTTCATAGCATAAGGGAATTCTGCTATCCTCTTCCACAGAGTTTCTTTTCTCTTCTTCCCTATGGCCCTTGTCTTCTTTCATTGCTTCTGTAATTATCTCAGATTATATCCTCAAATCTAAAGGTTCTCAGTTAGAATCCACAACTAAGAGAATAAATAAATGGTGTCTCCTCAGTAGGGCATAGAGTCCTTTGAGTGTATGTACAGAGGCCCGTGCCTGGTTCCCACCCAGAGAAGGGGTGACTCTGGGTACTGAACCCCAACTGACACATCTACAATGTAACCATTACACCCAGGGCTCAGGAAAACTCACAGAAGTAGAGGTGGAAAGATTGTAAGAGTCAGAACATCAGGACATCAGCTGCAAATATTTTTCTTTAGACATGGAAAGGATGCTGTAGCCAGGAAACCTTACGTATATGGCTGCCTAAGCAAGAGCTGCATAATGACATCGGTTGACATATCAATGTGGATGGGAGAAACTTCTCAAAATCTCATCTCTAGAAGAATAGCTACAAGTAAAACCAATGGCTATTGAAAAGGGGAGAATCAATTTTCTCTAGCAATAAATCCACTAATAGATTATCCAATCCAAAGTGGCCAGTCCTAACCACATGGACATATGAGCAGCACTAAATGAATTCAGTAAGGTGTGTGTGTGTGTGTGTGTGTGTGTGTGTGTGTGTGTCTGCACATGCATGGGTGTTAATAACAGAAGAAGAGATTGTAAATTTGAGAGGAAGTATTGGATGATGTAGGGTGATTTGGAAGGGAGAGAATGAGAGGTAGAAACCACATAAGAACAAGACTCATGTATAAAATTCTGAAAAAATTAAATAAAACCCCCACCTATCTAGAGGTCGATGTAGCACCTGTTGCAAGCATGAGTACTAACAGGAAAATATAGAACACTGAAATTGTTGAGTGTGCACAGCAAGCTTAGGGTATGTGTGTAAAGTAAAGTATAGAATGGAGCACAGTGAGTTTAGGGTATGTGTGTAAAGTGTAGACTGGAGCACAGTGAGCTTAGGGTATGTGTGTAAAGTGCAGACTGGAGCACAGTGAGTTTAGGGTATGTGTGTAAAGTGCAGACTGGAGCACAGTGAGCTTAGGGTATGAGGACAAAGAGATAATAGGCTGAAGAAGGAAGAGACAGTCTTTGTTAGAAACACAGGCACCAGCAATCAAAAATGTGACTCAGAAATTTTTCTATGAGTATAACTGAAGAGCAAAAGAATGAAAAAACAAATACAGTAAGAAATGTGACTTGAATCTACATTATAAAAGGGAATAGGAATAAGCCCAAAGTAGCAAGAAAAAAGAAACTAGCAAAAAGATAAACAAATAAATAAAATAAAAAGAAACTAGTACACAAAAACACAATTGAAATCCCTGTAACTGTTGAACCTTAAAAGAATACAAATAATTACCCAAATTAGAGGCTTTAGGATAAAGGCTGGAGGAATTTAGCTTATTGGAGAAGCCTGCTTGCTATGCAAGCATAAGGACTTGGGTTAAAATCCCAAGCATCCAGTGTAAGAAAATGAAGTCAGTCATGGCTAAGTGCACCTTTGACCGCAGGGAAGGGAAGCCACGTCTCCAAAACCAACCAACCAACCAAACAAGCAACCAAGCAACCAATAACAAGCAAATAGGAAGTAACAGTGCAAGCGTGTTAGAAAGTTGGACTGGAAAGGGAAAGACCGAACTACTTTCCAGCTCATCCACATTAAATATCGAACCACATAAAGGGAAGAGAAAACCAAACAATAGAAACAGATGGTGATAAAATTATAGATCAATGTCAATCATCACCATAGTTGGCCAGTTATAATAGTGCTAATGAATTGAATGTGTCAGACAAAGATAAACCCATGTGAGCAAGTCAACATGTATGTGGGTGTTCATGAGCATAGAGATATATAATAAGGTGAATAAAATAAAAATAAAAAAAAACCCAAAAAAATCTGTTGCTGTAGCTCACCAACCTTTACTTAAACCCCAAATATGCACCCTGCACCACACAGTGACAGACCATACCAAGTATGTGTGAGCACACACACACATACACACACACACACACATACAGACACAGACACACAGACACATACACAGACAGACAGACACACATTCAGGCACAGGCACACACATGCATATATAGACAGACACACACAGACAAACATATAGACACAGACACACACTCATACACAGATTAACAGACAGACAGACACACAGAGGCACACATACATACAGATACAGACACACACAGAAACACAGACACACACATACACTTTCCCCCCCACTTTCTACTGAATATGAACACAGGGAACAAGAAGGCCGTGACACTGCAACATTACAAAGGACGCCTGCCTAAATGACAGCTTTCACCACACCCCGACACAGCTCAGGTCCCTCACAGATGGAGAGAAGATCTTAGCACTCCTGCTTTACAATAAGGAAAACCACAATGAACAAGATTCTTCAGGCACAGATTTCCACAGTCAGCTTCAACAGAAGCAGTGTGCAGAGAGACCTCTTCCCCACAGGCCAGAGACCTCAGGGTATGAGGAATTAAATGTCGACTCTTTTCTAGGACGCACGACGACAGTGAGATCCAACGAACCTCCTGCACACTGCAGATATTTTCCATTACCCGAAACATCCATTTACAACCTTTTAAAGGAAGTAATAAGAAACAAGCCAAAACAACGGCATACATTTACAGATCATTACCTTAAGGTCCCTCAACTTGTATGATTAGCAAAGAGTATCCACAAGGCAGTTCTGCCCATTTCCCACCAAAACACCCCAGCTTCCAAGCTGGGGATCCCCACTCTCAGAGCATGTTCCAAAATGTCTTGTTACCTGTCAGCTCTTTAGAGAAGAGAGATGGTGAGGGTTACAAGTTAGATCGGAATGCCTCTGTCCACTTACCAGAGAACCTTGAGTCCAGTGTATGCGCTCACTGTAGTTCAGCTGCAGGAACCACTGCCCACTGTGCTGCAGTCTCTTCCCATGAACCAACCCCTCCTTCCTCTGTGGAAAGCAGCAGGTTTCTGACAGCTTAGCAGGACTCCCACTCTCTTCAGGGCCCTGCCCCTCCCTCTCAATGTGTGCTGGCCAATTACAGAGGAGCACGGGTCAGTAGCTTTCAGACCTGCTGCATTTCCAAGAAAAGGAAAATGAAACTAAAGTGACCAGTTGTGTTTCATTCCATTAAACCTTTGTTTCTGGCAGAAAAGTCTGGACAGTCCTAAAATAGTACAGGTGTGAAATGTGGGGCTTGGAAATGGAGGGAGAGCACGGAGAAGCAGCTGACTAACCAGGTTGGAACACAACCCTTGAAAGATAATTTTTGGGATCCCTGACTCCACAAATACAGCCTGAATTGAAATCACACAGCACATTGTCTAGTGTTGTGTGCAGATGCCAAGTTAAGGATCACCCACGACACAACCTATTTCCTCACAATTGTGGATTCATGTTCCTTAATTCTTGTCATTCTCAACTCTCCTGTCAGTGCACACATTTGATCCGGTTTGGGCGTGACAGGTTTTACACATGTTGTCACAACCATTGTGAGCTTATACATCCAGCTGCCCTGTTGTGTCCAGAAGACACAGTTTCACTGTAGCTGTCTACTCTACTAACTCTGGCTCTTCTAGTCTTTTTTTTTTTTTTTTTTGGGTTTTTTTTTTTTTTTTAAATTTCTGTCTCTTCCCCACCGCCGCCTCCCCTTTCCCTCCCCCTCCCCCAATAAAGTCCCCCCTCCCTCTTCAGCCCAAAGAGCAATCAGGGTTCCCTGCCCTGTGGGAAGTCCGAGGACCACCCACCTCCATCCAGGTCTAGTAAGGTGAGCATCCAAACTGCCTAGGCTCCCACAAAACCAATAGGTGCAGTAGGATCAACTACAGTCCTCCGCTCTACCAGGGAGCTATCGAAGGGAAGCACTCTTATAGTCTTTTTATCTCCCCTTCAACAACCATCCCTGTGCCTTTGGAACTAGAATTATATATATTCCATTCAGGGCTGGATATTGTTCAGTGTCTTATTCTCTGAATGTTGGCCATTTGTGGATCTCTGTATAGATTATCATCTCTTACAAATATGAACAACCATAATAAAGGTTGGGAGATGCCTTAATCTATGGAAATAATGATGATTCAAGAAGAGCTGGCTTCATATTATACCCATTTAACAGGATAACAATAGTAATGTTTATCTAGAGCCAACAATCTGTCTAGCCTTAAGTTCTTGCCAAGGTGTGGGTTTCATTTAGTAGAGAAACTATTAAATCTAGTTTTGGGGGGTGTTCATGGTGACCTTCAGGGGGTCTTGGTTACAAAAATCATCAGGTCAGTATCATAATTCTCAGTATTATTGGTTAATGCCAACTTTTCTCAACATCTTATATGCAGTTACAAATATCATCAGGTCAGCATCATAATTCTCAGGATTATTGGTCAATAGCATCTTTTCTCAACACCTTATATGCAGTTACAAATACCAGGTCAATACCTGTAAGAGTACAATGACATTGCTCCAGTCTCTGAGCAGCTGTTAAACCCTTAGGCTGCCTCCTTTCGTAAGTGAAGGGGGGTTTCAGTCATTTATTATTTTGAGTCTTTCTTTCCCTAAGGGGAAAGCTTAGGTCTTAGATTTTAGGTTCAATATTTTAATGGAAATGAGTTCTGTGTCTCAAAGATTTGTTTTAATCAGATATTCAGTCTGCATCTCAGCTGCAAAGCAAACAAGATTCAAGGTGCAGAAAATTGTAGTCATTTTGGTTGTCATCTCAGCAGGGTCTCTGGGTCTCTGTGTGTGTCCCAAGTGTGGAAGCATCTCAGCATCTGCCCCTCAGTCCAGCATGGCACCCTGCAGTGTAGAGTGTTGGCAGCAGGTCCTGGGATCAGGGACTCCTCTCTGTGGGGGCAAGGAAGACTGGATCAAGGAGTCCTCTCCATCTCCTTTCTTGAACTCATCAATGGGGGCATTTAAAGCTACGATAGCATCATGTCTGCCACTCCTTTACTGCATATGCAGTCATCTCATCCAGCTTAATTTTAATTCTGTGAACAAAAGCACAAACCCATTCAACCCCAAATTAATTAGGTTAATAGGTTGGGTCTTTTTATAATTCATTGCATGGGCTTTTTTCACCTTGCCTCAATAAAGGTCACCTTGGTGCCATCATGCCAGATCTGTCTGCAACTTTTATCCTCTTAAGTTGTTTTCAAGGAGCTATATCACACTCCACAGTTCCTTTCCATTATTAACCATGTATGCAGTTCTTCCATTGGAAGAGCAATGTGTAAAATTTTTTGCATAATATTCTTTAAGGTATCTTTAGCTATAACCTTAGCAAAATATAGTTGTAAGAATTGCAGCAATGATCATCTGGGAAGGATTATTACTCTGGCCTTTGAATTGAGCAAATACAATTGTCCAAGAATCACTACCTTAAAATTATTTATTAATCTATTGCTTAGTATAGGAAACATTGATCATAGTCAGTTCTCTGCTAAAATAGCTCCTAGATTTCATCCTGCTCTTTTGTATTGCCCAAGCTACTGCTTTAAATTAATAGTTTAATATATCAACTGGCAAAAATTGGAAGGTGCAGCCATAAAAAAAATTCTGAAAAAAAATTCTGCTTTTTTCATAAAAGTGCTGTAGAATAAGTTTTGTACTTAATATCCACACTTGATATAGCTAAGTCATAATTAATATACTGTACTTGCTGATATTGTATACTCTACCTGTTGATCTATACTCCACCTGCTTGAGTACCTGTTTGGCAGCTTCTATAAGTTCTCTACTAGAAATTGGGCCTATATACAAAAGATGTTCAACCATACCATAAGGACATGTGCTCAACTATGTTCACAGCAGAATTACTTTGTCATAGACAAGATCTGAAAACAACCCAAAATGCACCTCTTATACACATATAATAAATGAGAGACATTATCTTTTACAAATAGTCATAAATACCATAAAATATCTTGAAGTAACTCTAACCACACAAATGGAAAAACCTGCATAAGAACTTTACATCTCTGAAGAAAGAAATTTAAGCTATCAGAAAATGGAAAGATCTCTTATTCTTATTCTCTTGGGAAAGTAGAACCAACATAGCAAAATGACAATCTTACTGAAATCAACCTACAAATTCAATTCAAATGCCCATTAAAATTATAGCAAAATCCTTCATAGACTTTGAAAGAACAATCCTCAACCTTATAAGAAAAAATAAAAACTCAGGATAGCCTAAACAATCTTAAAATCCTGTACAACGAAAGAACTTTTTTTTTTTTTTTTTTTTTTTTGGTCGAAAGAACTTTTGAATGCATCACAATCTCTGACTTTAAAACTTCACTGCAGAACCACAGTACTGAAATCAATCCACCTTGCATACAAATTCACACGCCTACAAACAGAAGATTTTTGACAAAGAAGCAAAATTGTGAAATGGAAAAGAAGCATGTTTAACCTGCTTGCTTATTTTGAATTGTCCTGAAGCTGTAGTTTTCTGAGGTTACTTTATTTTAAACCTGCCTTTCAGCTCCCTGCTGAATCTGCCTCACAGCAGGGGATAGCAGCCTGCTGTCCCAAGTTCTGGTGGGCATAGCTGCGCTGATTTTTAACTTTCTTTTTTATTTTAACTTGTAAGCATAAAATTAAGAGAATTCCTGAATATTCTTCTTTGTTCTACTGGCTGACTTTGGGATGACTGTGTGGGGTTAAATTTGTTCTATAACCTATTCCTGCTTGTCTTTTACCCACAGGTGGGTTAGATTTAGCTGGCCACTGCGCACACGTGATGCTTTAATCTCAGCGGTAACCTAGGTGATTCTTGGGCCAAATACCCTTTTTCCTTCACTTTTCCTACCCGTTTAGCAAGCAATAAAAGTTGTATCTCCACGTCTATCATGCTTAGAGATTCTAAATATCTCTGCCATTGTTTCTGCTGCACTCTAACTCCCTTTAGCTACCAACATATATAACTAAATACTTTTTTCCTTCTCTCTCTCTCTCTCTCTCTCTCTCTCTCACACACACACACACACACACACACACACACACACACACACAAAACTTATTTACGCATTTTTACTCCCGATTTAAGTTTTGTCCCATTTTTCTACACTTCTTAAAATGTATTCTCTATTTCTGAGCACTTAAATATCCACCTGTGTTGAAATTTTTTCTCGTGGGTTCCTCACTTCTCTACTTCCTCACTTTTTTTCGTGTTTTTGGGGGTTCGCAGATCAGCCTCAAGTCTGGGCACTATTATGTCAGGGTCTGGTGTTAGCCTGGACCATAATTATTTCTCTTGACTAGACCCCAACATAAACTATCTCTCTTGACCGGCGTGGAGGTGTGGGAATAAAGACACATCTCACACAGCTTTATCAGGAGGAAGATTCTCAGTGGTCCCTCATGAAGTCCTGAGTTCACATCCTGAAGAATATCATATATCATATATTTTTTTTTCAAAATCCTTTTGGTCATGGTATTTATAAAAGCATTAGAAAAGACACTAGAACAAATTTCTGCTAGCTCCCAGTTAAACTCTTAATTATGGATAAATTAAAACAGGTAACGTAAGGGAAAATAATATAAAAATCTGCATGAGCGCTTTAGCTAGCATCAACAACTATAAAAAACATGAGCAACTGTGTTGCATCTACCTTGCGAGCAGCAATGTATATCAAATCCAAGATGTCTTCTCCATATGTGCACACTTTCTTCAGTGTGTTCTCCAGATGAATAGAAATTTAACATATCCATAGCTTTACACATTTAGAAATAAATAATAATGAATCACATTTGACATCAGTGTTTAACCAATGCCAAATCTCTAATGATCACATAAATCTAATTTTCCGTTTTGTTTATGTTTTCAAAAAATGTCAGTAAGTGTAGCTATTGTATTTGGTGAAAGTAAATTTTCATTTTCCTAGATTTACTTTCCTTTTGTACTGTCCATGAGTAATATAAACTTGCAATTGATGTGAGAACTCCTTCAGCCAATAGCCTTTAAAATTCCAGCTCACTTGGGCGTGGTAACTTATACTACAAATGCAGCTGTAGAACTTGCATGCTCTCTCTGGGCTGCTGGATTCAGTTC